TGTTAATGCAAAACAGTGTTCTAACTGCTAATTGACAAGGGTCTTTTTTTTTTTTTTTTTTAATACTCTATACTTGCTGTTCAAGGGAGTTTGACAAGATTCAAGAAACAGTTTTGTGTTATTTTTCTGTTTCTTGTGCCGCTGCTTCTGCTTCTGCCAAAGAAATTTGTGTTTGGCCAGAATTTTGTAGAAATATTGCAAGAACAAACTCTTAATAACTGAGTAAATCTTCCATTCATTTGTTTTTTGTCAAGAATTCTACTATTGAACTGTTCTAAATGTGTGTATATTTAACAAACATTAATTGTTTATTAAACTGAAAGTTCCGGAGTACTTTTTGATCCTAAAAAGTTGAAAAACTATGGTATAATATGAAATAGTGTCATCTATCAGAGCTTCATGTTCTTTTACTCTGATTCATTTGTGGTCCCTGATTAGTCCAATTTCTTTAATCGGATAACTAGGTACGGTATGCCTTTTGTGTCACCTAACAACCTGCTAGTGTCGACTATCAACGGAACGGGTGCTGCAATCGAGTCTGTATATGTGCTGATCTTTCTCATATTTGCATCGAAGAAGGAAAAGGGCAAGATCTTGGGACTGCTTACACTTATTCTGAGTGTTTTTGCAGTTGTTGCATTTGTTTCCCTCTTTGCTCTCCATGGCAAACACCGGAAACTTTTCTGTGGTATTGCAGCCACTGTCTTCTCCATCGTTATGTATGGCTCGCCTTTGACAATCATTGTAAGTTGCTTACTCTCTATTTTGTACTTACTTCGCATTTCTTCTTCTTGAGTTTATTCCGATAAATCAAAGGCTGAGAAATCGGATCAGTTCTTTCATGGTTATCATACTAACGTGAAATTTTGTTATTTTGATTCAAGGGAAAGTGGCTAGATGGGGATTTATCTTAAAAACTTTTTTTTGTTATCTGCATGTTTTTACACTAAAGATATTGACCTTTCTTTTGAATTGAAGAGGCTAGTTATCAAAACGAAAAGCGTGGAATTCATGCCATTCTTCTTGTCGTTATTCGTGTTCTTATGTGGTACTTCCTGGTTTGTCTTTGGCCTGCTTGGAAAGGACCCTTTTGTTGCTGTAAGTTTATGCATTTTCCTGTCTATTTTCAAATATGTGATGTGATCAATCAAGATTTCTTATCAAATGATGTGCAATGCTTTTCAGATTCCCAATGGTTTTGGCAGCGGATTAGGAACAGTGCAACTGATTTTATATGCCATTTACCACAACAACAAAGGGGAGACGAAGAAACCCCGTGCTGACGAATCCCTCAAGATGGAGTTGAGCAATGGCGAGAAGCCATCCAACACGCAAGATGAACGAGTGTAGACTTGAAAATGCATGTTAATTTGAACTACAATATTGTGACTTCTGTGCCACATTCCCACTTCTTACTGCATTGAGTTTGTATTTCTGTAATTTTCCTGCTGATAATGCCATTTAGGCCTGTCTTTCTGCTGTTATTCTATTTCAGTTCAATATCAATGAATTCTGTGACTTCACTTAATATGGTTTTAATATGGTCCTTTCTTGCTTGTTTTATAACCATAAGAAATACGGTGTAAGCTGCTACTTACCATCAGAAAATCTGAAATGTATACGCTCCGAATCCAAGTAAAATTGACATGCCGGGGGGGGGGAAATCTTGCACAAATCAAGCCCAAACACGATCAAGAATTTCTTCAACTACCTTTTATTTAAAACTTTATTTTCCAAATTTGAAAACAATCAAACTCAAATCTACAAGTTTGTATATTTTTGACTTTTGATTTAATTAATTTGTATTTTGTTTGACTATTGAATAACAAATTATGACACTACTTGTCTTCCTTTAAAATAAAACTCTTTAATTTTGTTACTCATTTTCAACCACACACTCACATAATAAAATATTTTGCACATAAAATTAAAATTTTTTCTTACTTTTTAATTACACATTCTTCAAAAAATCACTATTCAAGATATTGTTTTTTTTTTTAAATAATGGTCATCAAACAATTCATGATTATTCAATGAAAAAGAAAGCAATTATAAACTAACTTTTAATGATAACTACTGATTTAATGCCTTTATTTAACAGTGGGAATTATGAACACAACTTTCACCTTGATTTTGATGATGTTGAGTTTTTTTTTTTTTTTCTAGTAAATATAAAATTTCATCCTTAAATTAATGATTTTGAGATATTATATAATAAAATTCAAATTTGTATTAATTAGATTGAATTAATATATGTGAAAATTCAACTTTGGATCAAGTGATGCATGCAAAATATTTGTGAGGATGTAAATATAAATATGAGAGTGAGAAAGTGACATGCTCTGTCACTTTTTTTAAGAAAGTCGTGGTTTATCTTATTAGAATTCTCTTGGATAAATTAAATATTGTGTGTGTGTGTGTGTGTGAAAATCAAATATAACTATGAATTCAAACTTTGTTTTAAATTAAAAAATGAGATATATAACTCTTTATTTGCCTTTTGCATATGAATTAATATATTGAAATTTTAAAGTGATATACTATGTCATTTTTTTTTTATCTCACACTATTTCACTTGTGTGTTTGTGTGTGTGTATTTGTGTGTATATATGTTGCAGATATAAAATGAACGTCTTCATTTGTTATGGAGACAAATGGAAACAAGATAATAAATATAAAAGAAATAAAATGATTGAAATTATTGTCCGATAAAATGTATGTATAACAACATTTGTTAAAAATATTGTTATTTTTTTATTAAAAAAGTGACATATCATGTCTTTTTTTAGAAGCAAGTTTTAACAATGGTAAAATAGATTAAGTTGTCATTGTTATGATTGATATGCAGTTCTATCAATAAAAAATTTGGTGTATTACACATAGCTAAATTAGGTGACAATTTTATGAAGTTCAAAGTATATGCAAAAAGTGACATACCATGCCATTTTTTTTGGAGTTAAATAAATCACTGTTAAAAAGTATCATGTGACATATCATGTCTTTTTAAACCAATATTCATATGGTATGATTAACTCGCAATCTAAAAAAAGAATCAATGTTTGAGCCCCTCCTTTTTTCTTTTTCTTTTTTTCAAAATGCATTTTGAAACAGTATTTTGCTGAAAAATGTATAGTTCAAAAATAAGGAAAAGTTTTAGGTTTGCAAGTAATATTATTTTATTGAATAATATGTTGTTGAAAATAAAAGAGAGGAAAATTTATCTTGAAAATAATAGAAACCAAACAAGAACTTAAATTTTCCATTGGTTCATCTTTTTGAAGAATTCATCAATTCGAACCTCAAAATCATGCATATTATCAATGATTTGACACTTCTAAACAATTGCACTTTGACACAGAGCAATAATATATGGCCCCCCAATAAAATTAAGGGAAAATTGCAGTTGAGGCTTCAAACATTTCAAACAGTGGCAGAATTTCTCCTAACCTTTCAATCGTTGCAACCGTCACCCCAAATCTTTCAAATCCTTGCAATCGAGGCCCCAACAGACGGTTTCCATCCAATTTGGCGTTAGTTGACAAAAAAATTAATTTTGACCACCTTCTAATCAATTCTAAAATGGCAAAATAATACTTTAATATTTTTCCCATAAAATAATAGAAAATGTAAATCAAAAACAAAAACAAAAAGGAAATAAATTAAATTAAATTAAAAAAAAAAGAACTATCTTCTTCTTCCCCCCCGCCCCGCCCGGCCCCCCCCCACCCCACGCCAAAAAAACCAGAAATCACCAGAAAAATCTCCCCTCTTTCTCCATCTTCTCCTCTTCCTAGTTCTAGTGGAATTACTCATCTTAATGGAGGATTTAGGCTAGACAATGGAAACTTATCCACTGGAAAGCCAAGATTATCACTTTGGTTGGATCTGGCAAATTCTTAGCTCAATCCCATTAATATTTCATCTATCAATTCCAATCTCATTATCAGTGTTGCCACCAATCCAAGGACTAAAGGAAGAGGCAGCTAGTAGTGGGAGCACATTAATGACGGATTCCCGAACTTTTTTGTATTTTGAAAATCAAAACCAGCAAGCAAAATCTTTGGCACCCATGTTTGCAACTGCACTTCTTCAAAAGGCAACTCAAATCTTTGGCACCCACCTTCTAATCAAGAGCGACACTGGCTTTCACAGAGAAAATGGAGAAAGATGGGAGCTATTTTGGTGATTTCTAGTTTTTGGGGGCAGGGTGGGACGGGGGCAGGGATAGGGGCGTGGGTGAAGAAGAAAAAGATAGTTCTTTTTTTTTTTAATTTATTTTCTTTTCTTTTTCTTTTTCTTTTTTTTGTTTTTGTTTGATTTACATTTTCTATTATTTTATGGAAAAAATATTAAAATACTATTTTGCCCCTTTTAAAATTGATTAGAAGGTGGTCAAAATTAATTTTTTTGATCAATTAACGCCAAATTGGATGAAAACCGTCTATTGGGCCCTCGGTTGCAATGATTTGAAAGGTTTGGGGTGATGGTTGCAACGATTGAAAGGTTAGGGGAAAGTCTGCCACTGTTTGAAAAGTTTGGGGCCTTAGCTACAATTTTCCCTAAAATTAAATTTCATTTATCTCTTTCATACTTTCAATCACTCGGTCTTCTATAAAATAATATTACACGAAAATTGAAAATTTTTCCTTCTTTTTCAACCACTTATTCGCAAAAAAAAAAAAATACTATTTCACCCATTTTTATTTAAAAAATGGGAGGCAAACAAGGGCGAAAGCACAACCTTCATTTTTTTTTCTTTTTTATAGCAGGCGAAAGCACAACCTTCATTTTTTTTTCTTTTTTATAGCAACGTATTGTATGTCATAATTGATGATTATCTCAAATATTATTGATAATTTTAAGCATTCATTTTTTTTTCTTTTTTATAGCAACGTATTGTATGTCATAATTGATGATTATCTCAAATATTATTGATAATTTTAAGCAAAAGAATATTCAAATTTCTACACATTTAAATCATCTTTTGACATATTTTTCATCTCTTTTACTTGTTTGCCTTCTTTCTAATCTGTTCGTACAACTCCATACTCCAATTTTGTTATTGACATATCCTTAACATAGGCATGCAAATATAAATTGGAAAGCTAGGGATATTATTTGTTCTAACTTTTAGAAGAAGAATGAACTAAATTTCATGGATGTTATTAATAAGTGTATTTTATACACTTATTCAAGGTCTTAAAACGGTGATATTTAGTTGCTTCTCAAATAAATTATCATTTAAAGATGTGAATCTTAATTTAAGATGTAAAGATGACCAATGAGTGAAATTATTCTGCCCTGACGTCCATTGATTATTTGATTTTCAAATCAATCGTACGTGCATCCATTTATTTTCTAACATTTAGATCAAAACTCAAATCCTACAAGTTTTTATCTCGTCAAATAGCGTTTAAGGGAAAAAAAATTGAATTAAGTGTTAGAGTACAATCCACGTGGGATTGACAATCCATACTCTTAGGTCCACTTACTATTCGTTACGGTTTGTACACTTGCGGAAAAAAATTGACAACAGTTTTTATAATGTGCTCATACCTTCAAAGGTTGAAAATAAATGACCAGAAAGTCATATCCTATTGGACGACTTATGATAATAGTGTAGATTGGAGTGCGGACAAGTGCACCTCAAGCGACATTTTACATGTAATAATGAGAATCTCCTTTATAACTACTAGTCTTTGCTCGTATGATGCATGGGCTGGGACATTTTGAAACTAATGTTAGTGTATTCGATGTATAAATATTAATATTGATGAGAGATATGTGCGTTAGTTAAACAAAGGCTATTTGTGACATTCAATGCCAATGGCAAGTACCATGGCAATTTATTTTGTATCAAAATCTCTTTTCTTCAACTTGACTTGAGTGTAATGCACAATGGAGTGAGTATTCGTCAAGCACCAGAAAACGTATCACACTCTGTTTTAAAATTTCTTTTTCCTCACATTATAAATAATTTTTTTTGATTTAAAATTCTTTTTTATTCCATTTGTTTTATGATAAAACATTGTTTTATAAAGAAAAAGAAATTTCAAAATATGATAAAACGTAACTTTAAAAAGAAAAACGTAATTATTTAACTTTAAAAAGAAAAACGTAATTATTTATAGTATGAAGAAAAAAAATTAAAAAAAATTAAAAACATATAGTAAAAACAAAACAAATTAAACGAAAGAAAGTTACGAAAATTAAATAAAGAATATATAAATATTATTTAATTAAATTGAAAAAATAAAATTTAATCATAAATTTTTTTTAAAAGGAATTATTTAGTTTTCGTAATTTTCTTTTCTTTAATTTGTTTTCTTTTTATTGTATTTTTTTAAATTGTTTTTAAATTTCTTTTTCCTCATATTATAATTAATTTTTTTATTTAAAATTCTTTTTTTATTCTTTTTGTTTTATGATAAAACGTAATTTTATAAAGAAAAAGAAATTTAAAAATATGATAAAACGTAATTTCATGATAAAAAGTAACTTTAAAAAGAAAAATGTAATTATTTATAG